ATATATGAGTGTCACAGCAAAGGGTCTGAATACTTAGGACCATGTGATATTTCAGTTTTTCTTTATATATGTATGACATTTGTAGAATGTTTTACAAATAATGTAAAGTGAACAATTAGATGGAACATTTTAAAAATGTTGCAAAAGATACATTAACAAATGGTATAACATTTCTTGAACATTGCGAAAAAAAAGTGCATTTGAAAAAAAAAAAAAAAATTCTGGTTGTATTACAAAAATTAAGACAATATTTACGTAGGCCTACCTTATACAGGTGCATCTCAATAAATTAGAATGTCGTGGAAAAGTTCATTTATTTCAGTAATTCAAAATGTAGCTTTAGATGAAATGTTTTAAAAACGTTGCAAAGGCTGCATAAACAAACAACGTTTCTTCAACATTGTGAAAAAAGCGCATTTGAAAAATGACTACAAATTTTCTTTTTTTATTACAGAAATTAAGACATGTACATATCTTAATAATGCAAAGGGTACATTGAGATGAAACATTTTAAAAACTGTGATAAAAGCGCATTTGAAAAAGCATTTTTTTATCTGTTGTATTACAAAAATTAAAACAACAAACAAATGTATATGTACATTGCAAAAACTGCGTTAACCAGCATTACTGAAAAAGTACATTTAAAAATGACAAATAAATTGTATTTGTAATATTACATGGGGCAAAAATGATGCCAAAATATACATGTACATACATGCACACAGTGTTTAAATACAAGACCATGTATACACACACACACACACACACACACACACAGACACACAGACACACACACTTGTATATTCACATGGTCTTGTATTAAACATTATGTGCACGTATATGTACATGTATTTGTTGGCAGAGCAAATTAAGGGAACATATACACATATATATATATATATATATACACACACATACCATACTTTTCTATCTGGAAATAGATGACCTCTAAAATAAATCTGCAAAACATAAGGAAAAAGAGAGGGAGCGAGAAAGAAAAAGGGGGGTGGCGATGAAAAACAAAACAAAACAAAAACTAAGATTCCTTTAATTTGCTCTGCCTATGCAAGTGAAGTGTGTCTTCCTACTCAAACACACCCACACACTTGGCCACCCACGCATATATGCACATACACATATACATAGGAACTCTGTGACGCGCAAACACATCCTGGTTTGAGTGTGTGTGTGTCTGTGTGTATAGGGGCCCCATGCTCAGAGTGGGTGTTGTCATTGCAGGGTAGGGCTGTTGACAGGGTACGTGTGGGTTTGCGGTTTTTAATGGTTAAGCTGACAGTTACTCAGAGAATCCTCTTTCCTCTTTCTTTGGCATGCAACTTCACGCTCACATTCAGATGTAATTAACTGACTCTAGTTTTAATACGCAGAAGACAGTTCTGTCTATAATGCTTTGGTGAACTTGTCTGAGAGAGTCAAGCAGTAATGAAGTGATGGGTTTCATGGCTGGAATAAATAAATAAAGGTCATTTGCTATGAATCAGGGAGAGTTTGAAGCTGCAATATGCAATATATATACATGCACATACATATTGCATATTGTAATAAAAATCAAATGTCATTTGTGTGTATGTATATATATATATATATAGACAATATTTACAAATATTATATATTTTAAAAATATATGTATATATTTATGTATATATAATATTTACATATTGCATATTGTAATATGGGTTTACATTTAGTATATATATATATATATATATTTACATATTGCAATGTATGTTTATTTAGTAAATAATAAATAACAGTAAATAATAATGTATGTGATATAAATGTAATTTATTCTAGTAATTATTTATATTACATGGGTTCACATTTAGTACATATTTAAAATACAAATAAACACATCATAAATATACATAAAAA